TACTGTATAATAATACTAATACTCCACACCCCTCCTCTTCCCATGGTTTCACTGTTCATATGTATATAAAGGTATACTTTAGTGCCACAGCTCACTTAAACACAACAGAGAGGAAATGTAACTACAAATTTAGACAATCTGTTCTGGAATCGTAAATCAATAATCTAAAAAGACTTGCGCAGCTCACCTCTCGCATTTCCCACATATGTAAAATGTAAATACTCTGCACATGGGTGCCAGTTCCACAGTGAAGATTATACTCCTGTATTCTTGGATTGGAGACCTGTCCACTGCTTGCATTAATAAGGTACGCCTTCCCAAGTGCTCAGTGCATTGTTCATAGGTTGCCATGGCAGCATCATGCATGTGTTTCCGATCGACTTTAAAAGTCCCTCAGTGGATTCTATTACCCCGCTGGTCGCAGCTACTACTCCAGGCAAACGCTCTCAGCAGCACATTCAGCTGTTCTATATTCAAGGCACTTTTGAATTCCGGGGAATCCTGAGTGACATATTAATGTAACGTGATTGGTAGCCCAGGAGTGCAGCTATTATCTGCCTTTAACCATGGCATCGAGTGCCAAGAACAAAGGGACACATGCAATAGATACAAATGTAGTTGCATATGTTGATTTTATAATTCACCTTGCTGTTTTTTTTTTCAAGACAGAATAGAGTTCATAGAGTAAATGGCCGTAAATTATGCTTTTGAAAGGAAAATGTCAGCATTGATGTTTCCTTGTGCCTATTTCAATCTTATATATTTTAGTTTTGTTTGTTTTTTTTGTCAGTGTTTTACACAGTGGTTTTTGTAAATGCAAATTTAATTAAAAAATACTTTGAGTTTCAGTGCACAATAGAATACCCATTTTTGGTAAAATATAAAATTTTAAGCTGAGTAAATAGATACTTAACATGTTATGCTTTAAAACTGAATACTGTATGCCCGTGGAACGGCACCAAACTAGGGTACAGAACAATCTCCATAGGTAGCACTTTAAAAGCTTTTACAGGTTACCAATTTAGAGTTTGCACAGGAGGTCTTGTCCTAGAATTGTAGCTCTCACTCTGACATTCAGAGATGCCTCATATGCGGTCTGAACACCATTTACATGTGTGCAGTACTTGTATGCGCTCACCTTTTTGTGTGGGCGCTTTAATTTTTTTTTTTTTTTTTTTTTTTTTATTGTGTTTTAATTTTTTATTCACACTTTTATTGCTAACACAAATAATGGACAACATCCTTTTTGCGAGAGCTGGAACAGTGACAGGTCCCTTTTACTGAAACATCTGGGGTCTGTTAGACCTCCGATCTCTCCACTGCCCTTTAAAGCATTTGATCAGGTGCTTTCACAAGCCATTAATGGCTTGTTTACATCCTTGCGAAAACTGGAAGTGACAAAATCCTCATTGCTTTCGGTTTCTTGTACCATAGAGCTGCTTGGGGAAGTTCTGTCCTCTGTCATCTCGGCAGTAATACAGCAGAACTGCCGGCTTCAGTCCCGGGCTACCCAGTGGGATGGGAAAGCCCGGGAAGGCACTGGAAGGTATGTAAAAGGCGATCCAGCAACTATTTAGCCACTTGGATCACTTTTACCTTATTTGGCATCAAAGTCCAAAAATATTGATACTGGGATGATTGCAGCTGCAGGTATTATACTGGTTATAGCCACTGAAAGTTCAGTACATCATGTAATGCCCTACAGGTGGTAAATTAAGTATACAAGCCTGATAAGGGGATTGAAATGCATGGAAGTTTTCACAGTGTAGTAAATGGGGAAAGTAAAGTTCCTAAAGAAATGCAAGCATATATAAATCTGCATTGCTGTTAATAGGTGAACTTTGCTGCTCTTAAGATTCAGAGGGTACATGCACTACAAACTTTTGCAGCAATTTGTGGTCTGTTTTATTGCTTCTTTAACCCACTTGCCCTCCAGAGGATTTACCCTCCTTCCTGACCAGACCATTTTTTGCATTTACAGCGCTGCATTACTTTAACTGAAAGTTGCGCAGTCATGCAACGTTGCTCCCAAATTAAATTTGTCTCCCCCCCCCCCCCCCCCCTTCCCATAAATGTAGATTTCTTTCGGAGGTAGTTTGATCGCCTCAGCGTGGTTTTTTTTGGTTTTTTTTCCACTATAAACAAAGACCAACGAAAAAAATTTTTGTTACTTTTTGCTATAAAACAAGGTAAAAAAAAATTGATAAAAATTTAATCATAAATTTATGCCAAAATGTATTCTGCTGCATGCCTTTGCCAAAAAAAAAAATCCCAATACGTGTAAAATTGGTTTACGTGAAAGTTGTAGCATCTATAAATGGTATATACAGTTGTGTTCAAAATAATAGAAGTCAGACATCACTAAATCAATCACTGTTTTTGGTAGAAATAATATTTCTACATGGCAGATAATTTACTAGCAGATGTAGTAGAGTAATAGAAATCCAACAGACCCAACAGTCATGACATGTATGCTGCTGATTCTGTGTAATTGAATCACTAATTGAAAGGGGCATGTTTTCAAAATAATAGCAGTGTGGAGTTCTATTAGTGAGGTCATTCATTCTTTGAAAAACAGGTTGCAATTATTGCCCTTATTTAAGGAAGGAAGGCAGCATAATGTTTTGTAAATGCTGGTTACAGTGCATTTCTCTCTGAAAGAAGTGCAGAAAAATGATAGGCTGCTCAGCTAAAATGATCGCAAATGCTTTAAAATGGCAACCAAAACCTGAAAGACGTGAAAGAAAGCGAAAAACTACCATTCGAATGGACAGAAGAATAGCCAAAATGGCAAGAACTCAGCCAACAATCAGCTCCAGGAAGATCAAAAGAAGGTCTAAAGTTACCTGTGAGTACTGTTACAATTAGAAGACGCCTGTGTGAAGCCAAGCTATCTGCAAGAAGCCCCCACAAAGTCCCACTGTTGAAAAAAAAGACGTGCTGAAGAGGTTACAATTTATCAAAGAGCACATTGACTGGCCTAAAGAGAAATGGCGCAACATTTTGTGGGACGGATGAAAGTAAAGATTGTTCTTTTTGGGTCTAGTGGCCGGAGACAGTTTGTCAGACGACCCCCAAAGACTGAATTCAAGCCACAGTACACTGTGAAGACAGTGAAGCATTGGTTGCACAAGCATCATGATATGGGGATGTTTTCTCATACTACGGTGTTGGGCCTATTTATCGCATACCAGGGATCATGGATCAGTTTTGAATACATCAGAATACTTGAAGAGGTCATGCTGCCTTATGCTGAAGAGGAAATGCCCTTGAAATGGGTGTGTTCCAACAAGACAACGACCCCAAACACACCAGTAAAAACGTCCAACATCTTGGTCCCAGACCAACAAGATGACGTTATGGAGTGGCCCCCCAATCCCCGGATCTTAATCCAATAGAAAACTTGTGGGGTGACATCAAAAATGCAGTTTCTGAGGCAAAACCAAGAAATAGAGAACTGTGGAATGTAGTCCAATCATCCTGGGCTGGAATACTTGTTCACAGGCGAATGTTAGTTTGTAAAGAAGAATACAAACACTGCTATTTTATTTGAACAGTCTAATATTCACTTTTCTTCAATTTTTTTTAGAGGAACAACACAAATTGATATTTTTTTCTTCATGTTTTTTGATTTGGAATAGAATGTGTAGTGTTCCCAATGCATTTGTGTGTATGGAAATAAAAGCTATTAGAAGAATTCTGAGCTTCACTTTTTTTCAAACACACTATTATTTTGAACACCACTGTATACTGGAATGCTGCTTGTGGTTGTGTGTGTGTGTGTGTGGTTTATGTTTTTTGGTAATGGTGGGTGATCAGCGACTTATAGTGAGACTGCGGTGGGCATTCTGACACTGGGTGGGGAACTGTCACTGACATCCCCCAGTGACACTAATAGTGATCAGTGCTAATAAAAAACACAGACCCTGTACTAATGACACTGGGCAGGAAGGCGATCAAAGGATTAACTGTGTGCTGTGTGTTTCACATGTGCTGTGTGCTATTTTACTGAAAGCATGCTGCTTTGTATTACTCTGCTATGAAAAGCAATACAAAACAGCATGCTGGTGCTGACCAGGGAGATATCTGTATTGTTTCATACAGACCTCTCCCCTGTCGGTGTTCCTCGGTGATCGCTGGCAGGGAATCTGTGTTCGAGACCTGGTGATCGACAGCTGTAGCCGCCGGTTTGGGCGGTTGGGCTGCGGTTGATGTAGGAGATTTTTGCCAGGGGCTGGTCAGTTTGTCAGCAGGGTTTCTTTAATTTATGCAAGAATGGTCCATTGTGTATGGAGTGCAGTAGAACTTCAATTTAGAACTTTTCCATTGTCTTTATCCTTTCAGCAAGCATGTGTTAGATGCTGGCATCTGCTGAATACCTGTATACCATTTATTTTGGAACTAGTGTTTGACTTCAGTTTAAAAAGAGAAAATATAAAAGTATGGTGGCAAATGATGACAGTGTTTCGGTCCCGAATGATTCTTTGATTAACTCCTTTGAGATCGTTCTGATGATTCCTTTGCTTAGTACTTTTTAGGCTTGAAATTAGTGTATATTTAAACTCTTGACATCCTAAACTTGTATTCTTGTTCTGGGTAAGTTGTGACCTTAAACTACTGAAATCGGAAGACCACCGACTGCCTTGGCAACCTAATTTCAAGAGGCTACAATTCAGTTGGTGTACTTCAGAGTCAGACACTCGAGCTTATCTGAATTCTTACACAATGGTGCTTTTCTGGCCTGCATTTGACCTCCCACTTAAGTTTTATTAGGTTTTACAAGTGTGTGTGTGTATATTTTTATATATGTGTATATGTGTGTGTGTATATGTATGAATGTGTATATGTAATAATAAAATATAATATATATGATTATATTATAATATATATATATATAAATATACATACATATAACATACAAATGTTCTCCAATCCTAATCTTAATGTTTGAAAAAGTATTGGAAACAGCTTAGTGAATGCTTGCTTACTCTGGCCATAAGACCATGATTGAAGCTCATGTTGATGTAAAGACAACAGATGGCTACCTGCATCCGTCTCTTCTGTGTTGGATTCACTAAAAAAACGTAATAATCAGATCAGAAAGACTTCATATAGCCAGCATCAGCAAGCTGTCCGTCAGATTTCGCAAGAAAATGATGGAAAATCATGACTCGGGAAGTCCAAACTAATGACCTAAAAGAGGTTGTTAACAAGCTGTAAGATATTCTCATTAAAATATTTTTGCCTGTTTTTTTTTTTTTTGGTGGTGGTTTTTTTTTGTTTTTTTTGTTTGAACAGGGGCATTGGAGTTGTGGTAATGGAATTTTTCACGGGAGGAGAATACATGGGCTGCAATTGCCAATTTTTCCTTTTTAAAAATACTAGTTGCTGGACTGTCTTGTTAATACTCCCACCCTTTAAAGTGGAGATCCAGTATCTCCTGTGTAGAAAAACAAAAAAACAGCCACTCGACTGTCCCTCGATCCAGAGTGTGCTCACTCCATCCAGGTTTCACTGGCTTTCCTCTGTCCCGCCACCGGCATATTAAGTGTGGGTAACCTGGCTGTGACAGCTTACAGCTTCACGGCCGTGGTGCCCACTTGCGCATGCACGAGCAGCACTGCATTGTGTATGGACCGTTGCGTGTCCCCAGAATACTGCACAGAGCAGGTAAATATAACGTGTTTAATTTTAAATTAGGTAGATCTGATTAAATATGCTGTGCTACTCCTGAAGCACCTGTTCACTGCAACATTGATCTATTCCATACTCATAATGGTAATCTGGTTCTGCACTGCTGCATTTTATGGCTAGTTCAGATCTCCCGTGATCTGAACTCTGTGAAAAGTATGTAAGTAAATGCAGAATACCATTATAAAATAAGAGCTGGTGAAGGCAATGAGCCAATTGTATGATCAGGTAATAAGCATGCTTGAAAGTGTGAATACTGCTGCCTAGTTAAGTGTCCCACCTTCCAGTCATTTGAAATCAGTCCTGGCAACAAGGTTACTTAAATTATGTATAATATTAAAGTTGCCCTGTCATGATAGAAGAGCTGTCCATGCAGGCTGCCTTCTAAAAATGCCAGATGCCTGGCTTTGACTTGTAGTCTTGAATCAGACCTGCAACAAGTGTGCTGTAAATAAGCTTCAAACCTTCTTACACTTGTTCAGGTCAGTGACTCCCAACTGTACAGTTTTAGCTTTGGAACGACACAGCCTGGGAATTGGCAATATCAAAGAGATCAGCAATGGCAGCTCCATTAACATTTGACAGGTTCCTTTTTATATACGACAAATTATCTTGTGCAATGGTTCTTAAATCTTTTGCAGGCAACTTATGATTTTTTTTTTTTTCCCTTTCCTTCTAGAATTCCAGACAGCATAGGCAAAGACATTGAAAAAGCCTGTCAGTCAATCTACCCGCTCCATGATGTTTATGTCCGTAAGGTCAAGATGTTGAAGAAGCCAAAATTTGAGCGTAAGTTTTAGTTTGGTCTTGTGTTCCCTTTTATAAGAGATCGGATTGTGTAAAAGCATGCAAGTGTCAAATACGCATGGTTGTCTGATGTTTAGGGGAACTGGAGCTTCACAAACCACTTTTTTTTTTTTATGTAAAATTGCCCCCCAATGCTTTTTCAGTAGTAAGAAAGGAGAGTTAGTAGGGAGAGGGCAAACGTCCAGCATCAGAAATGAAAGCTCATATTTTTCATATGGAAAATGTTTCTATCCAGCTGTTTTTATTACCTGATCTCTGGTGCTTGCTAGTGCAGACAGGTATGTATGCAGATTGTATATATTTATACTTGACTACATTATATGGGAACAGTGATGACAAACTGTTTCGGTCCCAAATGATCATTTGTGATTACTGTATTTGAGATCATTCTGACGTTCCCAGATTCTTGAATTTGAGCATACAGTTCTGTTCGTTCTCAAATTTTGTATTAATACTTCTCTTCCAATTTATCTCTTTTGCAGTGGGCAAACTCATGGAACTGCACGGAGAGGGTGGCAGTTCTGGCAAGCCAACCGGAGATGATACAGGCGCCAAAGTCGAAAGGGCGGATGGCTATGAACCCCCTGTGCAGGAATCTGTTTGAGATGATCAGTCTGATTCAACCTGTAAAGAAATAAACAACTGTTGTGTAATTTTATTGTCTGTGTGTTTTACAAAATGGTTACACTAGGTTAAAAAGTTCCAGCTGTAAATGGTACCTAAATCTTATTTGATACATTACCCTTTAGCTTAATCTTCTTCTTTTTTTTTTTTTTTTTTCTTTTAGTCTCGATTAATACTTAAAAGCCCCAAACATGTTGTATTTTCTGAAAGCAGATACCCTGGAAAGTAGTGGCAATTCTGCTGTTGGTAAACTGATTTGCTTTATGTGACAAAGTGCAAAATTTCAGTACAATGCACTAAACCTAATTTTAGGGCATTAAAAAATACCTTTTTATTTATTTTTTTTTCTTGGTAAAATAGAAGATGAGATTGAGCAGAGTAAATATTAGAAGTGCCTCATTTATTAGTCAATCTCTATTTTATTAGTTCTGCAGCCACCTTTCTGCCATATCTGTGACAGCCTGCTGATTTGTACAATATAATGACTTCGGATTGCTACACCCTTGGTATAAAAACAGAATACAATGCATGAAATACATGTAGCCAGGGTTTACTCAGGGCCAATACTTTACTGCCAGTAAGATGGGGTACCTGGGTAAAGTGGATTTTATATAGCTTAAGGTACTGAAACACTAGGGCCCTTTTTCACTTTTGCGTTCATGGCCCAGACATTCCAGAACGACAATTCTATCTTGCTTTCCGTCAGGGGATATAGATATGTTTATAAAAAGGAGTTAACTGGAAATGCAATGAAAAGGGTAAGGGCATAATGAGTAGAAACCTGTGATATAGCACCACATTGGCAGCACAGACAAGCCCCAGAGACTAATAACAAAGTACATATACAGCACAGATTAGAATATATGGAATGGAGCACTAATTAACCACTTCCGTGCCGCCCTATAGCAGAAATACATTTTGGCCTAAATTTATGACAAAATTAGATTTTTTTTAAACATTTTTTTACTGGACATGTTTAATAGCAAAAAGTGTGTGTGTTGTTTGTTTGTTTTTTTTTTTTTTTTTTTATACTGCAAAAAATAAACGCAGGGGCAATCAAATACCACCGAAAGAAAGTTCTGTGTGAGGGTGAAAATAAGGACATAAATTTCATTTGGGTGGAGCATTGCATGACTGCAAATGTCAGTTAAAGTAACACAGGGCCGTATTGCAAAAAAATGGCCTAGTCAGAAAGGGGGGGGGGGGGGGGGGGGGGGGGAAGGGTTGGTAGATCCTCTGGCGAGCAAGTGGTTAAGAATATAAATTTACACAAAACCTTGAAAGTTGAACAATCCACCCTCCTCCTCCCAAAAAAAGACAAAATAAAACTTCCTGTCATTGCAAAACAGGCCAAAACCAACATGGATTAGCCTGACCTGTGCAGCCACACTCCCATAAACAAAAGTAGAGAGATCCCTACAGAGTCCACGCTGGGAGCCAGAACCAAAGGTCAGTCCAGAAGAAAAGCCACTGGGGTAAAACAATCCCCCCTCCCCAAAATTGAGGTGAACTAAGCACTGCTGGGGAAGTAGAGTAATTCAAACAATACACAGCACAGAGTGCTTGGTGCGAATAGCTATGTGTGAATATGCAGGGCCTGTAGAGGTGGGGGAAGCAGAAACACACTGGCTCCTCACTTGGTCAGCTCTGCCCCCAGCACAGGGTTGTATCAGAAAAATGGTCCTGCCTGAAAGGAGAGTGAGGGTTGGCTTGCAGAGGCTAGCAGTGAGGGTTACCAAGGTGTGGCAAAGTAGGGGGTTTAGGATACAGGTGAGCAGATGGGAGGGTTTGGAGGCACAGAGGTGAGCAGAGAGGAAATTTTGGGGTGTTGAGTTGCGCAGAGGGGATTTTTAGGGATATAGGTGGAGGGTTTGGGGGAATAATGTGAGCAGAAGAGTTTTGGGGTACAGATGTTAGCAGACAGGAACGTGTGGTGTGACTTTTGCAGCCTATTCATTTGAATGGGCTGCAGATTTCACTGGGATGCAGAAAAAGTAGTGCATGCATACTTTTTGAGACTGCCATACCAAACTGTAAGGTACCGTACCGTGATAGCATGCAATTTGGTGCCTTCAAAAGCATTATATCTGTATGGTCCTCTCCGTGCTCTAGGTCCCCAGTTAGTTTTATACTAAAAAGCTGCTAGCACCTTACCATATACCCGATGGAAAATGACAAATTGTAGACTAATTGGTGCTGTGCTATCTCTAGGTGATAAAAACTCCTGTGATGTTAATACCCCACACAGTACAAACTTGTAAATAAATATACATAAACCAAAAATTACTGAATAGAATGCACATGAAAACATCCAATTAGCGAATACCACCCAAATGTAAAATGTGTAACAGGAACACCCCTAAAAATAAAATAGGTGACTATGGGTGAACAAAACACATAATTAAAAAAGTAAATATATATACAGTTGGGTTCAAAATAATAGCAGTGTTTTGAAAAAGTGAATAAAGCTCAAAATCCTAATATCTTTTATTTCCATACACACAAATGCATTGGGAACACTACACATTCTATTCCAAATCAAAAACATGAAGACAAATATATCAAATTTGTGTTGTTCCTCTAAAAAAAAAAAATTGAAGAAAAGTGAATATTAGACTTAAGAAAAATAGAAGTGTTTGTATTCAGTGCCCTGATAATCTGGTGCCAATCCCTGCTCTGATAACTGCCAGTTCTCTGCAGTACTTTCCCCACGTTCTGACAGCGTGAGGAAAGTGCAGCCGAGAACCGGCAATTGCATTTCCCTGTGATCAGCGTGTCATTGGCCACGGCTGATCACGTGGTAAAAAGCTGCTGTGATTGGCCTTTTACCACATCACGTGATCAGCTGTGACCGTAGGACAGAGATCGCCGGGGGTGCACAGGAGAGCACATTCTGGGAGGACGCCATATGACGCCCTCCCAGAACTGGCCGGCCGCAGTGTAGCCGTCATTTGGCTATTTGCGGTAGGCAACTAGTTAAATTGGTCTCTCAGTGTGGTTCAGTAGGAATCACTATTGGGAAAGACTGCTGACCTTACAGTTGTGCAGAAAACCATCATTGACACCCTCCGTAAGGAGGGAAAGCCTCAAAAAGGTAATTGCAAAAGAAGTTGGATGTTCCTAAAGTGCTGTATCAAAGCACATTAATAGAAAGTTATGTGGAAGGAAAAGTGTGGGAAGAAAAAAGGTGCAAAAGCAGCAGGGATGACTGCAGCCTGGAGAGGATTGTCAGGAAAAGGCCATTCAAAAGAGTTGTGGACTTTCACAAGGAGTGGACTGAGGCTGGAGTCAGTGCATCAAGAGCCACACACACAGACGGATTCTGGACATGGTCTTCAAATGTCATATTCCTCTTGTCAAGCCGCTCCTGAACAACAAATGTCAGAAGCGTCTTACCTGGGCTAAAGAAAAACAGACCTGGTCTGTTGCTCAGTGGTCCAAAGTCCTCTTTTCTGATGAGAGCAACTTTTGCATCTCATTTGGAAACCAAGGACCCAGAGTATGGAGGAAGAATGGAGAGGCACACACTGCAAGATGCTTGAAGTCCAGTGTGAAGTTTCCACAGTCTGTGTTGATTTGGGGAGCCATGTCATCTGCTGGTGTTGGTCCGCTGTGCTTCATTAAGTCCAGGGTCAACGCAGTAATATTCTAATTTTCTGAGATTGTGTTTTTTTTTGTTTTCGTGAGCTGTAAGCCATAATCATCACAATTATGACAAATCATGGCTTGAACTATCTTGCTTTGCATGTAATGAGTCTATCTCATATATTAGTTTCACCTTTTAAGTTACATTACTGAAATAAATGAACTTTTGCACGGTATTCTAATTTTTCGAGTTTCACCTATATATGAATATATATTACTTCTTGTTGAATTGTGCCCCAAAAAACCGTGATATGATCCTTTTGAGGATCCCAAAACTCAGTGATACAAATACAACACAAATAATATCCTGCAACTGATTAGTTGCTATAGGAAATGCTCCTGAAATTTAAGTGTTCACAGTGAACATAATAAAGGATAGGTGGAAGTGAAAAAATAAAATTAAATGAATAAACAGTAGAAATTGGTGTGGAAAAATAAAGTAGACTGCAAAGTAATTTCTGAAAAACACATCTATTACCGAAATCCGCTGAAACTTGCAGATTCAATGAGATTTGTAAAAAAATAAATGAATGTGATATCACAAAACAGTGACCCCTAAATCGGGTATGTGAAATAGATGGTGTATAAGTGACATAAATAATATGAACACAATGGGTCATGAATATCATACAAAAGACCTGATGGTGACAAGTCCCATGAACTACATATACTCCAGCCAAAAACGTGAAGTCCTATACACCTAAAGACGGTGCAGGTGTCTTGTAGTTCTTAGTGCTGGTATTGTGAAGGTGAATACGCAATGTAATAAGATCCAACATTAGGCAAAATGCCCCGTCACCTCCATGAAGTGACCCTGCAGGGCCAAAAAGCCTTTCTCATATCGCATCAACCAGGAACCAGGATCCACTTCCACAGATATCAGGTCAGCAGATGGGTCAATCCCCTTTGTCGTGAACGTGCGCACCAGAGGTCAGGACGCAGCCTCCATTTTGTTTAGAATCTCTATTTTCTCCCCTCCCTCTCAGAGGCACATAGACATTTTGCCAGTGTGTGTGTGCTGGTTGTGTGTCACTGGCTGGCTAGGGCACAGCAAGGAACCCCAGAGCTATAAAACATTTTTGAGCTAGGTGCCTGGTTGTCTGGGCGAGATGTACCATATAACACCTTGTATAAGATAAGGCAAGCTTTCCAAGGAATATATAAGTTAGTGAGCGCAATCCGACAAGCGACCAATGCACTAAAAGGAACCACAAAACCTTTCTAATAAACTCAAAAGTACAAGGAGTGCAGCGCTACATCAAATTAAATGGAAAAGAAAAAATACAGTAAAATAATATCAATATAGTCAAATAATACTAATATTAAAATAAGTCC